GCTTATCTAATCGGTCGGACAAGATGGGATACATATACATTGATATATATTACATATTTTTTAATTATAAAACATCATATTTTATTGAATACCGAGCAATGATATTAGTGTGTTACATCTCATATCAATTCTTTTGACAAATTTCCTTTTCATTGACTTCAGAAATCATTATAAATTCTCGCGCATTGTTCATGTACTCATTAAATTTTATACAATTTATTCACGTTTGTGATTTCGAATTTAAAATATTTTTAGCTAATTACAGAAGATTCAAACTGCATTATTATTCTCTTGTAAATTATCGTCATCATATTTTTCAGTTTTCTTAGACATTTTCCTTTTTTCCTGTTTCTTTTAATCGTGTGCTGAAATTAGTCTCATTTTTTGTTATTTTGGATTTACTCATTAATTCTATTGACACGAAGACAAAACGTGACAAAGTTGTGTCATTCTCTTCTTGACAAACTCTCTAAAAGAGATGTTGCAAGAATTGTCAAACTGCTTCACAATAGGGTTCATCCTCACGTTGCGACTGCTGTTCGTATCAAAATTACACAATTTGACTGGGAAGTGTTCCAGCATCCAAAGTACAATTCCGGACAAGATCCTTTGGCCTTTCATCTGTTTGGTCCCATGAAAAAACTCATGGGCCAGATAACACTTCTAATCGGATGATGAAATGATATCGGTTGGATGCAGTTGCAGTTGGCTATACGCCCAGAAAACAAAGTTTTATGAATGAAACTTGTGCCAAGATGAGAGAATTCTCGAGGAACATGGTTCTTATGTTGAAAAATAGCTAAAACATTTCAATTTTTTCTGCATAGTATGGAAGAGAAGGCCGGATAATATGATAACACAAAGTGTTGATCTTAGATAATGGGACGAAAAGTTGTTGAATGATAGCCTATATCAAGCTGTCACATATATTTTTAAATAAATGAAAATCCAGGTGAAGTAAGTCTTTTATATTGGAAATGGGAGTGGGAAAACGTGTAAAAAGAAAAGGTGAGAAACATTTAATTGTCTATAAGAGATAAAAAAGCATGATTTATTACGAGTGAAAACAGTAAGATCTCATATTTGTATGGTCTGGAGGTAGTAAAAGTATGAAAGCATTTATAGGAGAAAATTTAATCAAAATATAAAATACTTTAAATATATCTGAGAGATCAAAACGAATTTTGCGATGGACTTAAAATCGTTATCCCTTTATTCTGTAAAATACGTTCTGAAGACTCGCTATGGCTGAGTGGATAAAACCGCTGAATACTAGAGGTTGATTGTGGGTTCGGTCCTCGCCAACCGGCTAGTCACATAGAGTTTTCCGGATTTTTTTCACGTTAGTAACACTTAAACAGGAGCCAGTTTCTCTTGGAAAGGATTCTATTACTCTTTGGCTAGATCGCCCTCGTGACGTGTTGCTTTCAACGAGCTAGAATATACTACATAGAGTTGGTGAAGCGATGCCATGTTGGAAGAAAATTGAATATACGTCCACCATTTTCCTTTTAGTCAAGGGAGCATGGCATTTGTGTTGTGTAAAGGCAACGAACTAGAATATTCTAACATCATATCATAAAAGAGCTTCTTGTCTCGAAAATTGTTAACAGAGACTTATCACACTGCTATTGGTAACTTACCAGTAGCAGTGTGATAAGTCTCTGTTATCTCTACTATAGTGTTTGAGATATTATTTTCAATATTCTAATTCCTTGTAAAAGTGTGCAAAGGAAAGGAAAAGTTTGGGACCAAGTGGCGGATTAACCATTAGGCTGAGTAGGTTTAAGCCTAGGAACCAAGAAAGGGGGGAAGCCCGAGAGAAAAAAGAAAACAAATGATTTCCTTTTTTTTCTGTCGGGCTTCCCTCTCTTCTTTCTTCTTATTATGATGCAACGATATGTTCTTTGACTTACCTTATTATCACTTTGTTCTATTCAACAAAGGATGGACAGGGAGAACTTACTGATGTTCAGCTTAGGGCCTAGTGATAGTTGATCTCCCACTGCATTGGACGTCTAGGGTGGCTGTTTCGCCGAACTTTCCGTTTCTGGTTTGTTCTGACCTGATTGGGGCTCTGGGCGTCAGTAAGATAACCGCCCGATCTCGAGATATTATGTACAAACACTTAAAAACTCTTCTTTCTAGCTTTAACAGCTGCAAACTCGGAAATCACATCTTCAAAATTTATATTTTGTGTTGACTTGTGATCTATTGTTAATATGCCAAGATTTGTTAAATTTCATTTGGGTCAATGTTGCCCGCAAGTAATTTTTAATTAATTTTAGTTTGCTGAAACTTCTCTCACACGAAGCAACTGATACGCAAATTGTCAGAAATAACTTTAGTGCGACCATAAGATTCGAAAGAGATTCTGTAAAATTAAATTATTTAATATAGAAAACTTGGTTAAATGGCTTCAAGCCTAAGTGATTTATCGTTGAAAAACGTTGTGATAGTTTATTTAAGTTTTTATTTTTTTACGGTCGGGTGTCACCCGTTTAGGGGTGACACCAGGTGCGGGCCGCCCCGCCGCCCCTTACCTACGCCACTGTTTCCAGGCAATAGATCGTATAAGGTGCTAAAGATTGCTTTAAATTGTACCGTTGTTTCACAGGAACGTGTACATTTGCTGTGATGTTGTAATCACTCGTTACCGTAGTCATTAAGTTCACAGTCACTCACCATTTTTCTGACTGTATAAATTTAATTGTAATAAGTGATAACGCAAGAAAACTTGTTATTTGTTATTCTGTTATTCGCTGACGGAATATTTTGTCAAAAGCCGGACTAAGCACGTCGGTGGAACTATTGAACCAGACACTAGACAATGGACGGTAAGACAGAACTGTCTAGGCTAAAACCGAACGGTTAGCAACACTACAATTGCATAAATATGTATGGCCGACAGGTTAAGGTGATAGCCTACCGCTCTGGGGAACCCGAAATGGAATTAAAAAACTCCAGGAATTTTTCGGATGGTGGTCCACCCAGATAAGTTGTGTCATATCCCTCACCACTCAACTGCTCTATTGTGGGCCTGGCCGAGCCCATAATGGGATCTCTTAGTGCCCACAGGGCGGAAAGAGTTAAAAATATCCTAGTCTGTGTAAGGTTGCCGACAAGGGTGAATATATGTCAAGAAGATCGAAGAGTCGTCAGTGGCATAGCGAACATAACTGGCGCCCGGGGCACGACACTTTATTGGCGCCCCCTCTTTCTTCCAGAAACAAATCTTGTTTGTCTTGGAGACCATTTGGCGCCCTCTGCGAGTGAAGCCCGGGGCATGATAGATCCCCCTCGCCCCCTCGCTACGCTAGTGAGGGTTGTATGTGGGCGATCGGCACCGAGACAGACTCTACGGTTACAAGAAACCATTTATTTGACACGAAAAAACGTTTACAAGATTTCCGCGATCTTGGAAGTTCTGAGTCGGGGGACTTTTGGGTCTTCCTTTCTTTTCCACTATAGCTTCAAATGAAGGAGTGTCATTGGTTCGCGAATAACAGTTCCCTCGACATCTCGATAATTTCGGGGCGATGCGGTCGACTTCCGGTGATGGAAAGATTTCGATCCGAGATCAGGAGACGGAGACGAAGATGGGCACTAGACACACACACACACACACACACACACACACACACGACAATTGGTCCGACGCTTGGAACTTTTGGGAGAAGCTGTAGCGTCCTTGAATCCCCGGGGTTTTATTAATTTCCGTCCTCGATTGCCAATTTCGATTGGTGGCTTTTCCTCGTTGTCGCTTTCTAAGTGGATGACCACTCGTTACTATGTGTAATGAGATCTCAACTCAGATCGCGGGAGAGGTCAAAATCGAAGTTTAATTCGATCCCCAACCGGAGATGACCGATAAACTTACATTCATCTATTGTTTAAAAGTTACATTCACATTAATAATAACTCTTGCAATTATCAAAAATTGGATTTACACTTATCTTTTAATTATGAAGGCATCGCGTATCTTAAACTTTAAATATTTAAAGCAAGACACGTAATATGAAACTGTCACTGTGGATATGAAAACTGAAGATGAATTTTTCACAATAAAAGAATTCTAACAAATGGGATTGATTGTTACTTCATATTAATTTCTGAAGCATTGTTTCAATTCAATTGTTTTTCTAATTACGCGTTTTTTAAAATAAAATTATTTAAATTCGACGTTGACACAAGTAAATTAAAATGATTAATTAATTAAAAAATGATTTTATTTTTCAAAATATTACATTGTTTTAGTGTTTCCTGATGCACATGCTTATGAATCAAATAGAACGAATGAAACTGTATATGAAGATTTTCTTATAAACAAGTTTACAAGTATACAGTCTTCTCGCAATAGACAGGCAGATAAGATTCACGTGATATTGACCAATCATTTCTCACTAATCTAAATAAGCCTTCTTCGTCTTGGCGTTAGAAAATGTAATCATTGTCATCATTTTCCAATTAAGCTTGCCAAATTTCGGAACTCTCCTAGCAAATCCGGGAGAGTTGGCAAGCCTATTTTCAATCGAAGAAATTACATTGGATTCTATTCGTTTTGTTGGAATAATTTGTCAGTTTGACATCATCTGTTACAGTGAGCAAGGGCGCGTTCGTTACTGGCGGTCGCTCTGTCTCCCCGCTATTACGGGAATGCGCCGCTGTTTGTAGGCAGTTAGGAACAACGGTGAAAAAAAGATGGCGGCACCCTTACTCGATAGTATCGTGATGGAGGAATCTATGATTTTAAAATATATAAAGGGACTTTTCTTTTGAGACAAAAGAAGGGTCCTTTGCATAATGGCTTGCTAAGAATAAGAGACCCACTTAGTGCTCACAGAGCGGAAAGAGTAAAAAGAAAAAGTTAACATTAACACTAATAATTATAACTGTTTTTTTCTAAAATATTATTTTATAAGTTATAAAATAATTTTTCATTACTGAATAATAATTATACTGTATATGAAAACATATTTAAAAAGTAGTACAAAAATATTTTTAATTCAGAAAATCGTCGTTAGAGTGCACTACGTGTTTTGCACTCGTATGTTTTACGTTCTGTGATCATCTCTTAATGTCAGATATAAGGAGTTGAAAATGTGTGAAAACGAAGGAGAACCAGTTAGAAAGGTGAGAAATTAACAATAGATTTGCTTTAGGCACGTAGATTTTTATATCAATAACATATACTGTATATATTTTGAGTAGAAGATACTTTTAGATGAATGTGTATATATGTATATACGTACAAATTACCCAAAAGTAACTTCTACTTGTATTTATTGTGCCTGGCTGAAAGATGAAATTATCAATTGAAAAATTAATGTTATTTAAGCAATTTTGATTTATTTAAAATTATATATTGCACATAATGCATGTAGATTGGCATCTACTCTTACAATACATTAATATCTATGTATAAATTGATGTTTTTAAATGTTTATTTCTTATAATTTACAAACAAATACAAAAAAAATTTAAATGTATATATGTACAAAGTTAACATCTTTACACATCTTTGATTATACAAAATAAAAATGGGTATGTATATATATAATGGGTATGTGTGTATATATGTATATATACATACATACATACCCATTTTTATTTTGTATAATCAATAATATATATGTATAATAATAATATAATATATATATATATATATATATATATATAATAATAATAATAAATAAAAACATATATGTATATGTATATATATGTTGATATTGCATATTCTTTTGGTTGTTTTTACTGCTGCACAAAAAGAAAAGATAAGTGACAAGATAAAAGATACACTTATCTTTTCTTTTTGTGTTGTGGATTTGTTCCAAAGAATGCCATGTAAAAAAATTGTGTAAAAAGTGCAGTATATGCATCCTGTAGAAAAAATGCTTGATGGGATCCATAACTTCAATGGAACAAAAAAATAACCGATTTACAAAAGAAACATGAACTTTTTATTGTAACATCATTTATTGTTAACATTATTTGTATGTAAATATCATAAACACAAGGTAGCATAGAAAACATAAAATCAACATACAGCATTCTGTAATACATAGTACTGGACCGTGCTTAAAGAAAATTAATTCTTGATTTCAATAAAAAAGCAACTTTTTAACAATAACAGTTTTAACAAAAAGTTAAATTAAAAAACTTTCAAATAAACTGTTTTACCAATGTAAAATATCGATTGCATGAAAATAGGATTAGTTTTCTTTTGTTGACTGTCTTATTTTAAAATTGCATAAAATGGACCTTGTAAAAAGAGGGATAGGTGTATTGTACTCATTACAATGAAGGCTGAGTGGGTCTCAGAGCAGCAATTAATATTTTGTTGCTTACTCCAGGGAATTGAATCCCGGCTATCTGGTTCACAAGTCAGAGCACCAGTCAGTACTTCAGTTTACACTCATATGATGTCTTAGGTATACAAAGGAAGCCCCAGATCTAGTCCTGCTAATGAGCTCTCTACTATGCATTGGATAGGGGTGGATAAGAAATCATTGGTGAAAAGGTAAAACAGTGTCTTTACATTAAAAGTTCTTTATTGTGTTTAAAGTTTACAAATGTCAGTGTAAATAACTTTGTAGCTTACTTTAAATATCACTGATGGTCCAAATTGATTAACAAACAAAAGTACTGCATAATGTTTACTATTTATAAGTGAATATTTAGTTAATCAGAAATCTAAGAATATACAGATTCTGGAAATAAAATTTAACTTAATACATTTATTGATTTTTGATCATTAATATCTTTATATAAGTTTCACTTAACCAAAAATAGTGTAAAATTTCATTTTGGTTTCTGATTTGGCTGCAAAATCTGGTTTCAGGCAGACTTTACCTGTCTGTGAAAAATGTAATAATGTCAGATTGGATGCCTGAGAAAAAGTATTGATATCAGTATCGGACAAAAAGTACTCAGTATTGAAGGAAAGTATCAATACCATATCAGTATTGGTAGTATCGGGACATTCCTATTGATTTAAATCTTGCAGAGATTGTGAAATCAAATGTGTCTAATGAATTGGTAAGAAAAGTTACAATTACTTTTTTCAAATTGAAAGTGAGAGAAAATTGGAGTTTTGTGTACTAATAACTTTAATTAATTCATTTTATATGATTAATAATTTTATTTCAAACTTAGAACATGTACATTACTCATAACATAAGAAAATATATACAATTGTGTTCACTTATAATGAACTCTCAGCTATAACAAACCAATTTTAAAAGTATGAATGAAACACCATAAGAGCAATGATATTTTTCCAGCTACAACAAACCATAAGTGAAGTTTAAAATGTTTGTTTTTTCCCACAGTTGGCGACCAACTTAGTGCACCAATTATATTAACAAAGTTCAGATAGTTCAATATGCTGAATCTGGTCTGTCAAGAAGACACCTTGCGACAAACTGTTGAGTTGTTGGCTAGAAGTAATCTTCTTCCGGCAGTTGGAGAACAAACAGCAAGACAAATCCAGACTTGACTTGAACCTTGTTGTACACTTGAAGATCCAAACCAAACTTAGATGAAACTGATGTATACCCTGACATTACGAAGCAAACTTCCTGAAGTTCCTGTGTTGAAGTGAACTTGCTTCTGACGTGAAGTCCTAAGCCAAACTTAAATCTCCCATTTCGACATTAACCTTTTTATAACTGTCGACAGCGGGCTCGATGACCAATCAGTGCTTACTGAGCTGTAGGACTATGCAAATAATGTGTGGTGCGATTCCCTGCCAACCAATCAGCTGTTATCGGTTGTAATGCTATGCAAATATGTAGAGTGGTGTGATCCTTGTCCAATGAGTGATTAGTTGCTCTGTTGGAGGTCCAATGGAGGTGTGATGATCTGATGACCAATCAGTGGCCACGCATTCAAAATCCAACAGTCTTTCTTGGCCATTACTATTTTAAAAATAAATGGGAATCGTGTTCTTACATGATCCTATCCTGACACCATATATAACGAACAATATTTGGATTTAAAAAATGAAAATTATTACTTATAATGGATTATGCGTACAAAGAATACTCTCGAGTTATTACTAGGTTTTTAAATAAAACTTTTTCCTGTAACATAATGGGAGTGACATGAAAGGGTTAATTAACTACCAGTAATTTTAGTGCACACATTTATTTACCTAATTTTTTATCAGAAATTCATACAGTTAGTTTAATCAGCACTTCGAAGTGCTGATTAAACTAACTGTGTGAATCCGTAAATCAAGACCGAAACATGTATAGGGTCATCCATAATCATAATGAAAAATGTGTCCAAAAATAATTCTAAATAAAAATAAAAATCAAGAAAAGGAAATTGAACCAGCATACTCTACAAATGTAGTGAAGACAGAAGAATAGAAAATTACCATAACCATAAAGAAGACAGATTCACAAGATTTTTACTGGACTTGTTTAGTATTGCTGTGTTACTGTCCTAGTAATAATTTAGAATCCTATTAATAAAGTGCATGTAATTGTAATATTTGTACTATTAATGTATATTGTAATGTATACATTGATAAGGGCCAGTATGGCTGAAATGTATTTTGGTTAAGTTAATTAAATAGGCTGGGTGTATAATAAACCTGTTCATTAGTACTTACTAATGAACAGGTTTATTATACACCCAGCCTATTTAATTTTTTTATAAAAAAATAACAGTTTTTTAAGTAACCATGCGCATTTATATTGATGTTTTAACAAGCAACTTTCTATATAATAATTTGTTACATTTTATCTTTTGAGACATTAAACTTTAGTTTTTTAAAATTAGGTTGTTTTATTTCTTATCTGATATAATGAACATCAGTTTTTACAAACTGTCAGAACAGGTTTGTTATAAGTGGACACTACTGTATTTAAAAAATGTAACAATAAATGATACAGTATTGCTGAAATGTGTAACTATTATATAAATTTTTCATAGTAGACAAAACATCATATTGAACTCTTCCATTTTTATTCATGTAATGAATTAATCATTCCTATATATGTAAAAAGTCATACATTTTTTAAGTATTAATTCAGATAGTTTTAAAATCTTATTAAAAACACTGTATAAATTCCTTCACTAATATCAAGTTGGTGTATGTAATCTCAAAAGAATAAGAGAATAACTGAAGTCTTAAACTAAGCTTGACTCAGGAATAACAACCATATGACAAGTGCTAAAGATATTGATCTGTCTCTCTGAGACAGATTGTCCCAAATTTTTATGGAAGATTTCATTCTCATCACTCAGTTACCCATGGTATTATAGCCAAACTCATGATGGATATGAAAAAAGATCCTCTTACTGCATGTAAGGTGGCAAACAGTAGAAACTTCATATAAAAATATTAGAAAAAAGTTTTAAAATTTTTTACATAATCAAACTAGAAAATTTTTAATAAATTATATTGATTTATTAATCTGCTAATTGTGTTATGATGAATTTTTGATGGATACTTAGAGTTTTATTAACTAGATGCATAACTAATATCTCAATACATTTAGCTGTTAGTTCACAAAATGAATAGCCTCAATGTGTTAAGTATGTTTTTAAACATATTTAAAAGATATTATCTCAGTGTTAAAGAGGTAGAGAATACAAACATTTTAGTTAATATGTATATTCAATAGTTTGATCTACATTTAGTCTGTAAATTTTGAAATTTCTCTAAAATAAACTCACTCCATTTTAAAAAATTGCCAGGACAAATTTACAAAAAAATGTATTTCTTGGTAGACTATACATACAGGATGAGTCAATTTCATTTGATCCTTTCACACGCTCTTGAGTAGCCTATGGACAAGTAGCCTACAATGAAAGGTTGACTCTGCTGGAGAATCATTATTACCTCAAGAGCATGTGAAAGGATCGAATAAAATTGACTCATCCTGTATGTATAGTCTACCAAGAAATATATTTTTTTATAAACTCACTCCAGTTTATATTATAAGATGACATTAACTGCATAGATTAATATAGTTCTCTGCAGCTTACAAGCATAATGACAGAGAAAAATTATCAATAAATATGTATTTAATTTGTTATTGTTTGTTCATTTTTTTTATATTTATAAATTTCTTTTAAAATGTTTTGATGATCTTGAAAAATAAGATCTAAGTAGAATA